GAGCATATGCTTGCACATTAATCATAGATTAATTTAGCGATATATTGTAATGTTAAGCTTAAAATGGGTAGCCGAAAAGGTTCCAAATGACGTACTTAAGGTAGGTCGCGGGTTTACTGTATAAAAATTCTTACGAGAAAACACATCCTGAAAATTTGATATAATGTTCCTTAGAATTCACAGCGTATTATCTGCAATTTTTATTAAATTTGCCTACGTAGTTTTAATGCTATATTACTATAAACGCGGTATTGTTGTTAGTATCTTTTTTACGCTTTACTATTGAAACGTATGGAAAAATGACGTTTTAAAGCCAATTTCGTGAAAATAGTTTTTTTTAAAAGGGTTGGATAACTTTTTAAAGACGTAGACGAATTAGTCAGGAATTTCAAAATGTCAATATGAGTTAAAATCAGAACTATTAATATAAAAAAAATCAATATGTCTGCTCGCTAGATTTTTTGCTAAATATTTTCAAAGTTTTCTTTTATACTGCTAAAATGTTGCGTTTATGGCGTTATTTTAATCTACGACGTCATTTGTTGAATGTAATCACATTTACAGTACGAGTATAAATATTTTGACCTTTGGAATATGCAAGATTTAAAAAGTGACCTAGATACAAAATTTAATTTTATTCATCATTTAACTTATTACGAAGACATATACATGTATAAAAATGACCAGCAACTTATTTTGACTAGAATTGTGAAATCCATATTCTGATTACAACGCGAGTGATAAAATATTAGTACCTGTATTTTTAGGAAATTCATGGTCAATAGGATTTCAGGCATAACACAAAAATTTGTTCACTTTATTCGAAAACGGTAAAAAAAAACTTCCCGATACTGAGGAAATAAGCGTCTGTGTGGTGGATGGAGGGGGGGGGGGGGTTACCTGCAATGTTCTTTCTATATTAGTCGCAAGCTACAGTATGCGGCCCTAAATCTCATTTGTTAATTTCGATTTCTCTGAATCAAATTTCAATACGAAAAATGTAAAACACTTGCATTTAGCTTTTACACTTGAGCTTTTGTTATAAAATATATATAGAAAAAATGATACTTGTAAATTGTTTACAGTGTCTTATAGGTCTTGCAGTTCAGGTGTTTGTATAAAATTGATTTTTAAATTATGCATTTCACAATTTATTAGCCAGCAAAACAAGGCGCGTACACGAGATTTAAGTACGTAACAGCGAAACAATGATGATAAATGATGATAATAATTAAAAAAAAAAAAACAGGAAAATACATTTAATTAAAAATCCATTTTTAGTGATGAGGATTGATTCTATCCTGATAAGTAAATTTTGCCCCGGCTTTGATTGGCAGTCAAGATGCAATACGCATGTACCCCTGAGTTTCAAATAACGTGCGCACTTTCAACCCCTCAAGTTTTCCGCTAAGCAATTTTTATTCATGATAACTTTCTTTCTGCATTCAATAACTTTTACTCTGATTTATTCTGATTGAGATTTAGAAGTTTAGTTACACTAACAATATGAATTATTCCTTTCATTTGGTATTGTATTCAATTAGTCCCAAGACATTACATATACAGTAAAACTCGTTTAGTACGAACACGGATATAGCGAATTTACGGATATAGCGAAGTCATTTTGAATCCCCAGCTATATAAATTTAATGAATTTCTTATACGGTTATAACAAATTAGGGATATAGCGAAGTGATTTCATAGGTCCCATCGACTCCGTTATAACCGAGTTTTACTGTAATCACATCAGACTAAACTTTAATTATAATAAAACACGTACGAGGTATACGTACAGCAGCATGCACTTTGTATTTATATACTTGATTCGTACAGACTTGAAGTCATTTGCAGAGAATTAAACGGGAAACAACGTAACGTTGCCTTTGTGACGTAACTGACGTCATAATAAAATGTGCACAAAACAACAGCTCGAATCGTCGGAATTGTGTACCAAAATTGATGACAAAAGCAAACCCGCGACCTACCTTAAGTGCACTCATTCTTTAGGCCTATGCTCGGCACTTACGGCCTTTGAGCAGGCAGGGATCTTTATCGTGCCACACTTGCTGTGACACGGGGCCTCGGTTTATACGATCTCATTCGAATTTCTTTATAACTCAAACAATACAATTTTGTAGTTATATTCTTGCAGTTTTTTAAACGTGTCTGTCAGGGTTACGTGCGTCTGTCCATGTTACGTTATAGGCTTTATCAATATTAAATAATATTACTTTCAAAATTTCATAAGAATTTTCATGAATAATATTATTTTATGTATTTTAATTCCTAAGAATAAAAGATAAGCTTTGAATAATAAATTTTATTGACTCGTTTCAGACGGGTATTGCTCAAGAAATAACGTAACATGACAGACATGGTTGAAATTTTGTATGTTACATAGCGTATGGCAGAGATTTATCTTAGAAAAATTCAAATTAAAAATTTATAAGGAATAAAAATTTAAACAAAGTAAATTTCATAAGATAACATTACCTTTTTGCTAAAATAATGAAGTTTAAAGGTGGCTTGGCTGGCTTAAGTAAAGAAGTCTGTCAGTGTTAAGTTCGTCAGTTTTTGCATCAAAAGTAGCCTAAAAATCTTTTTTTTTTTTTCCTTCTATGTCAGAATGATTTTTTTAACATTGTTTAAAGAATTGTTTAAATTTATTTTTAATTAATTATTTGTATTGCTAAACATCAAAAATGTTATTTAATCATGTCATAATATGTTACACGTCTGTCATGTTACGTTATATGTCTGTCATATGTTACGTTACACACATTTCAAACATTAATAAAATATTTATTTTTGACTTGATTATCTATTCAAACATTGTTTCACCATTATTAAAGTGTAAACTTCAAATATACATCAAGAAATTTAAGAAAAAAGAGTGTCTACAAATTTCTTTATTTGTCCCCCCAGATGTACGCAAGAGCGAATTTAGAGCCATTTAGTGCACGCAAAACACAACACTATTATTATAAATAGTTCACCATACACTAAATTAGATTCATAATATTAATGTCACTATATGCATTTAAAGCTAATACATGTATTCATTTCTTCATTACCATCTGCAGTGTCTATTCCACTGGCAAGGCCACATAGACTTGGTCTTCCTTCCATGTTGTCCAACAACAACTGCTCACTTACATTCGGTGATGCTGGTTTTTTCCATCCCCCTGTTTTAGGTTTCAAAATCGCACTTCTTTTTTTCTTTTGCTACAATTAATGTCAATTAATTTTAATATAGATATTAGATAAAATGGTGACATATATAAATCTTAAAATCTCTTGGGCCTGCACAGCTATAAAATCAACTGCATGTATTTTAATTTGTACTTATAAGCCTAAATATCTTGTAAAAAAAATGTGCATCTAATAGTTGGGTATTTTTTGCATAAATACAAATTATCAGAAGAGTATCATTTACCTTTCTGTTTGATGTTCTGGTATTTCTTTTTTATTTCATTCACATCTCTGGAAATTATTGTACTTCCACTATGGGGAGAGAAAAAAAAACATGAATCTACTAGTATTTTAACAAAATTTGCTTTTCATTACAGCTGTGGTTGATTTTTAATATTCTATTTCAATGATTTATAAAGTACATGTATATGATACTTTGTAATTGTTATTTATAGCTTTCGGGTTTCCCCTTTTGTGAATTTTGTTATTTTAGGCCTACTGATGCACTATTTTGAAATCTTGAGACTGTTTAGTGGCTGTGCTGTGGTATGAAAACAACTAGGGCCTAGGGCCTACGCCTTGTACATGTATACATCAGTGTACATAGGTATAGCTGCATTGCTGGTAGTATGTTCAAACCCGTTGAAACTGCCACAGTCTTGTAATTTTTTTAAAACATCATTGGTTTTCTTTTCAATTGAAGATAAGTTTTTATAGTTTTGTGGAATTGTATGATGATTTGGGGAAATATGTTAACACTTACGCATTGATTAGGTCAGTGACCTCTTTCCAGGCTTTTGTCTTGTCTACTGTTGTCCTCCCTGGTCCGTCTAACTTTCCAAATAGTATCTTCTCCCGCTTTTGTACTTCTTCGACTAAAGTTATTTCGTCCCTGGGGTCCCAGTTTGATTTCCTCGACCTTTTCTTTGGAGTTACGGGAACTTCTACATCCTGGCGTTACTAATGTAAGCAGACGAAAATATTCTATCTCCTGAACATGAGAGAGTTCCACATTTACCGTTTACGCGCCAAACTCCGTGTGAGTTGCTATAAAAATTATTTTTATTTGACTAAGACGAATTTTGCTAAGATCGTTTTGTGATCCACTTAAGTACGTGATCTTAGCTAAGTCTAAATCTTAAAATTAAGACAAAGTTTTTGCTTAAATTTAAGACAGTTTCATGATCCCGGAGCCTGGTCTCCAAAAACCACATAGATATTGTCAATCAGAAACTCAAGCATCTTCTTGATGTCAACTTCAGAGTACTTGTGTGTGCAATCAGAATGTGTTTTAACAAAATAAATTTGCAAATGTCCAATGACCAAATAAGTAGAGAAGTAGAGATACGAGTTCCACTTTTGTTAAAAAAGCAAGAGTCATTGATATCAAAAAGCATGGACTTGATTTAATGGTGGAGAATGGTTGTGTATAACGTTGAAAAGTCATAAGTTTTCAAGCTCTTGATTTTGGTTAATTTTTTTTATGTCAACTTAAGAGTACTTACCTGTGCAATGAGCATCCGTTTTGACAAAATAATTTTGCAAATGACCAATTACGAGGTAAGTTAATTTACGAGTTCCATTTTTTATTTTTATTTTTATTGAAGAAGCATTTGAATTGGGGAATTTTTCACATTTTGATATAATTTTCAATTGAAACAAAATAAAAGGACATCGATTTTGAAAGAAGTGTAGTATAATTGATAAGTAAAGAAATGATAAAAATGACGGAAAGCTGCCTCCCCCCCCCCCCCAAAAAAAAAACAAATATTTAGAGAAGTACAACTATGTCATTTTCAAACAATATTATCACAGATAATTCAATTTATGCCTCTATGAGAAATATATTATATTTTTCACCTTAGGATTATTCCGCATATCCCTGCGCAGTCTGCAGGATATGTGCCTTTATCGCAGCGCAGTTATCATATAACCTTTCATTGCGAAAGCGCAAGCGTGTCCTTTCACGCAGAGTAAACAATCAAAATCTTTCATTTTGTTGCGCCATTTTTGTTAGCCTGGTAGTGCCTTGAAAAAAAAAAATGTTTGTGGAAAAGCCTTTAAGGGGACCTGCGTACATGGGGCCTCAATTATTGGTCAGCTTCTTAGCGGAGAATCATCGGTGCCTGTAATTTATGCAGTGGAAATTATCCCCATAGCGTGGAACCTGTTACGGTGGAGGCACAGATGGGTTTTGGCAGGGGTCGCTGTTTACCTCGACGACCCCCTATGGAAAATTGTGAAACAAGGGGACCCTTTTGCCCATGCATTTGAGAAGTTCTAGGAATGCAGTGATCGTGATTTCCTGTCAATTAAGGGCAGTATTGTTTTTGGTCATTATAACAAAACAAATAATGTTTTAACACTGTTTAACGTTGCATATTTGGAGCAGCTTTAGAATCATTGTTTATTTATACTCCATTTTGGTTAAGCTGCATGCCTTTATAAAATACAGGCTAACTGGCGGTGCAACAGCTAGGGCAGATCATTTTCATAACTTATATTTATTTACCATATGTTACTGTACCTGTTACCACTTCATGGGTTCTCCTTGTGATTTTTTCTTTCTGATGTACAGTAAATTCATATAATGGAAATAATAGCATTCATGTCAAAGTTATTTACGAAATAGTTATTTAACTTGTATCATTGCCCCGATTATGATACCTCCTTTTCATCGAGAGAATTGTTAGCTGTCTCAGCGAATGAAATCTCACCATTGCCTATCATGTGTACCTAATCTATTTACAGTCATTGTTATGCAGCTGCATCAAAATTGTGAATTTTATATGACTGTTTGATTCTACAATTTTATTTATCCTGTTTACACTGGAGTTAATAACCTGCCTGATCATGGAACCTGTTTACACATAATTTATGGCCGTGGTGCCCCTGGTGGTTGATAGAATCATTGTTTACACATGGAAATATTGGATTGTTTACAAACACATGCATGTGTTAAATCAAGTATTAAACTTTCTTCAGTGCACATGCACATGTTAAATCATTCCAGCAGATCAAACTTTCTTCTATAGTATATTCATAAGAATTACTAAATTAAGACATTTCTGTGTGTGCCATTTATAATAGCTCTATCATTGGAACATTGTTTTTCTTTTCTACTAATGGGAAATATATTTCATGTCATTGGGATTTGAAATCATTTCAATCTTCTGCATGATGCAGTGTGCAAATTTTAGATAAAATAAACCGAGAGCAATTGATTATCTGCACAAAATGTGTCAAAAGGGTTATCGGTAAATTAACCTGTCCGCTGATCTACACATATTTGCTTTTTATGAATCTGTGAGGTCAATTAGGTCACCACGGGATGTCAGCTGGAGTATCATGGATTATACTCCTGGCTCCGGATTGAGTCCATCTTCAGTAAACTCCATTTACTGTCCAGAGTATGTGGAATGTTATTTTGCTTGTGCATTTTATCATCTTTTCAAGGAAATAAGATCCAGTACACCATTTTATGTTCTAGAATATATATACATATATTCTTTGTTATATGCTCAGCTGAGGGCTATATGAAGAGTTGTGTACTGTTTCTTACAATATCTTGCATATCGAGGGAACAATTTACAGAATGTTTAACACAATTTCTCTAATGATGCGAAGATATCAATGCAGTTGATAACCATTTTTTGCAGCATTAAAACACACACACAAAAAAAAAAAAAAAGGGAACATTTGGTAATTGCCATATATCTGAACTTCTGAAGACATATTAAGTGTTTAACTAGCTGCCTTACATATCATTCTTAAAGGGCATTATCCCTGTAAGGAAGTCTCAGCAATGTTTAGTATATTTTAATTTAATGTTCAGCAAAATTCTTATTAGTGGGTTTTGAGACAAAAATGGTTCAAAAAAAAAAAAAAAAAAAAAAAAAAAAAAAAAAAAAAAAATTGCAATAAATGTCAATTACATTTTCAATATATCGTTTCACTCGTACAATGAGCAGTAGAAATTTTAGTAATGCTTTTTATATTTCAATTGAAATAATCAAACAGTACTATTTTCAACAGTATCATAGTATCAAAAAAAATAATAATAAAAATTAAAAAAAAAATAATAAATAAAATAAAAACAAAAAAAAAAAAAAAAAAAAAAAAAAAAAAAAAAGGAAAAAAAAATTAATTAAAATAAAAATTTAAAAAATATATATATATACATAATATGCATTTTAATAGTTAAATAAGTATACAGTAGAAAATTCAGAAAAATGTTTATAAACATTAAGATACTTGTGAAAACATTCAATATATTGTTCCTATATTTGTGAGAACATTCAGTATAACATCGATTAGTTTGGTTTGTTTTTTGTGAAAGTTTAAAATTTGGATTTATTGATTGTGTGTTGTTTAACGTCCCTCTCGGGAGTTTTTCGCTCATATGGAGGTGACACCACTTGCCAGTGGAGGGCTAAAAAATTTTGTCCTATGCTCGGCACTCAGGGCCTTTGAGCAGTGAGGGATCTTTTTCGTGCCAGCACCTACTGCGACACGGGACCTCAGTTTATGCGGTTTCATCCGAAGGACTGGTCCCAACGTCAGGCAGTGGGATTCGAACCCACGACGTGAGGATTGACTCCTTACTTCGCGTCTCTAGAGCAGACGCTCTAACCACTGCGCCACGCGGGCGACTTTAAAGTTTTGAGGGAAACATTCAGTTTAATGATTAAAAGTTTACCTGGGAAGATTAAGTTTAATTCTATTTAAAAATTTTGGGAAACATTCCGTTCAATGTTTCATTGTCTTTGTGCAAACATTCAATATAGGATTTCAAAGTTTCTGAAGAAACATACAGTGTGTTTCATTGTCTTTGTGAAACATTCATTATAGTTTTCATTTCAAAGTATTTGTCTCAAACATTCAGTATAATGTTTTAAAGTTTGTGTCGATACATTTAATATGTTATTTCAAGTTTTTGTGGAAGCATTTAGGATAATGTTTCAAAGTTTATGTCGAAACATTCAGTATAATGTTTTCAAAGTTAATGTCTGGGTATTCAGTATAAAGTTTCAAGTTTGTTTTAGAAACATTCAATATAATGTTTCAAAGTTTTTAATGGTAATATTCAGTATCATCCTTCATAGTCATGTATTAGTGTTTGTGGAAATATTCAGTACAATATTTCAATATTTTATGTTGAACAATAAGTATAATGTTTGAATTTTGATTTGGAAACATTTAGTATTATGTTCCAAGGTTTGATGGAAACAAGTATGGTGTTTCAAATTATTTGTGGAAACATTCAGTAAAATGTTTCAAAGTTTTGTGGAAGATGCAGTATAATGTTTAAGAGTTTTGTGGAAACATTCAGTATAATGTTTCAAAGTTTTGTGGAAATATTTATTATAATGTTTCAAAGTTTTGTGGAAACATTCAGTATAATGTTCCTAGTCTTAGTGGAAACATTCAGTATAATGTTTTAAAGTTTTGTGGAAGCATTCAGTATAATGTTTCAAAGTTTTGTGGAAGCATTCAGTATAATGTTTTAAAGTTTTTGTGGAAACATTTAGTGTAATGTTTCAAAGTTTTGGTGGAAGCATTCAGTATAATGTTTCTTATCTTAGTGGAAACATTCAGTACAATGTTTCAAAGTTTTGTGGAAACATTCAGTATAATGTTTCAAAGTTTTGTGGAAACATTCAGTATAATGTTTCAAAGTTTTGTGGAAACATTCAGTATAATGTTTCAAATTTGTTTTGGAAACATTCAGTATAATGTTTCAAAGTTTTGTGGAAGCATTCAGTATAATGTTTCTAGTTTTTGTGGAAGCATTCGGTATACATGTTATGTTTCAAAGTTTGGTGGAAGCATTCAGTTTAATGTTTTTAAGTCTATGTCAAAATATTCGGTAAAATGTTCAAAGTGGTTTGGAAACATTTAGCATAGTGTTTCAAATTTGTTATGGAAACATTCAGTATAATGTTTCAAATGTTTTGTGGAAACATTCAGTATGATGTTTCATTGTCATGTATTAGTGATTATGGAAACATTCAGTATAATGTTTCAAAGTCATGTATTAGTGATTGTGAAAACATTCAGTATAATGTTTCAAAGTTTATGTCATAACATTTGGTATAATGTTTTAAGTTTGTTTTGGAAACATTTAGTATATTTCAAAGGTTTTATGGAAACATTCAGTATAATATTTCAAAAGTTCTTTTGGAAACATTCAGTATAATGTTTCAAGTTTTTTGTGGGAAAAGTTCAGTATAATGTTTCATAGTGTTTGTGGAAACCTTCAGTATAATGTTTTCAAGTTTTTGAAAAAACATTCTGTCTATACTATTTTATACCTTTGTGGAAACATTCTGAACAATGGTTTACTTTTTAAAAAAAAAAAAAAAAAAAAAAAAAAAAAAAAAAAATTCATCTATTCAGTAGAAACATTCTGTTTCATATTTTGATTTGAGAGGAAAGAACTTTCAGTATTATGAGAAACTTAAAATAGATATTTAATAATTTGTTTCATGCAGTACATGTAGCATGTCATCAAGTCTGTTCTGAGAGTCTCAATATAAAATTGTTTCTCATTTTACTTGGGTTCCAGTATATATATATTCCTAGGCTTTAGTAGTGCATTAACTCATACACTATTTACCATGGTATTCTGTTACTTGTAGCAGTACATCGATGCTCAGGGCCAAACTGAACTATAAAGCGATCAACACCTAACTTCATGCAGTACCATCTAAGGCACAACATGGAGAGGCAATGGAGTCTACAAATTTCATATGGCGGAAATTGTGCATTATTGGAATGGTAACTGCAAAATTGTTGAAACAGTGCTCTCAAATCAAACCTCTAATGCTGACATATGATCAAGAGATCAACAAGATCATTCAAGAATTAAGGTGCTCTGGACATGATGTCAGCTGTCTTCATAGTAAACTATTGGAAAAATGATGCTACCAAAGTTTGAAATCCAAACCACCAGGAAGGACAAGCTACACTGCAATATGCTCAAGCCCCTCCTATGGATTCTATGTGGATATCTGTGTTGAATGGCAAATATCATTTATCTGACAGGTAATTCCAAGGAACATCATATAGAGTAGTCAGCATCTGTCTTTAATCTACTGTATAAATTAAGATGAGGCAATGCATTAGCTTCTTATGTAACATTAATTTTTGTATCATTAATGTTGTAAATCTGGTCATGAGGCCAGCAAATGGTTTATCATATATTGCAAAATGTACATCCTCTATTGTCATCAACTCTGTATAATTCAGCTCAATTTTTATGATGTCAACACTTAGTTGCTTTTGTAAAATGTATTTTAGTTACTGAGCTTAGTTTTGATGTACTTGTAATGTCTCCATAATCTGCTTACTAATGTCAATGAGCTCAGCATTGAAACCGGCCTGCATAGTCTTTGAGCTACATGTAAGATGATGGCTACTCATTAAAAATGTATGCTTAAATCTGCCAGCATAGACTTGAATTACTGTAAGTTTCATAGTTCAGCGGATAGCTGCTCATGTAAATTGTATGTTAAAATCGGCTTGCATAGTCTTGAGCTAAGATAGTATTACATAGTTCAGCGGATAGCTGCCCATGTATATTGTATGTTAAAATCTGCTTGCATAGTCTTGAGTTCAGATACATAGTTCAGTGGATAGCTGCTCACATAAATTGTATGTAAAAATCTGCTTGCATAGTCTTGAGTTAGATACATGAGTTCAACGGATAGCTGTTCATGAAAATTGTATGATGAAATCTGGCTTGCATAGTCTTGAATTAAGATACATGAGTTCAGCGAATTGGTGCTCATGTTAACTGTGTATAAAAATCTGCATGCATAGTCTTCGGTTAAGATACACGAGTGCAGCGGATAGCTGCTCATGTAAATTGTATGTTAAAAATTCTGCCTACATTGTCTTGAGATTAAGACCTTCATAATTGGCTTCCCTTGATCCACAATTAAACAGCTTACAGGTGAATGTTAATGTCTTTGTTGCATCAGAATTTGTTATTTGTCAAGAACACCTAGTCTTAAAAGTATGTGATATCATATGAACTTCAACTTTAATGTTGTTTTATAAAATGCTGTAATTTCTGTATTTTACTGATTTTATGAAATATTTTCTTTGATTTTTCTCCTTGTTTGGCGTCAACCCCTCACTGCGTGACACTACGTGAGGGCTTGTGGCGCAATTGTTTGGACGCCTCCAAGGATTTACTCATTTATGTTATATTTTATGCATATTTACATGTACTCTGATATGTTCACTGCATGTAAATTTCTAGTCAGTCTCAGGGGGATCACACTTGTACCTTTCACCTATGTACATGTAACCTGTATTGTTTAATATTAGGTGATCCCCCTTAATGATTTGTTTTACATTTTACTTTATGTCATTGAATTAAATGACATAATCGACAAAACTGCATATCTGTGTTTGGTTGTTTTTCACTGCACTATCAGGCTGATATTTCTTATAGGAGGCATAAAAAACAAAATGTGAATGTAGATACTTGGTAAGGGTTTGTTTTTGTGGAGGTAAGTTTGCATTTTAGTCCCTTGCAAGCAATCGTAAGTACTCGGTAATTTCTGTGAACATAAGTTATTTCTCCCATGCTTATATTCACGCTGTAGAAAAAAAGATGAAATGATGTCGTTGAATATATTCTCTGTAAATGCACAACTTACTTTATTATTTCAATATTTGCCAACATATACGTATATAAAAAAATATCGTTTTTCCCACAACAGCCTTATATCTTTTTTATAATGTATCTGATCATATAGATGCAATTTTTTTTTTTGGGGGGGTGACATTGAAAAACTTAAATACTGACCATGTAGAAAAAAATAATTTCTAACGAATACAAAAAAATTATTTAGTAATAATAACATTCCAAATATCAATAACGTTATGTGATGTTATTCAACGCTTTAAAACGTAATCTTTTTATAATTGCATTGCTTTTATTTTGAGTTTTAATAAGACTTTAGAAGGTATACAATAAAAAAAAATGGTATCAAAATATTCTTCAGAATCTGTTTTTTTTTCAGAATCGTTGAAAAAACGATTTTCCGACGCAACTCATATTTTAGAAAATATTTCCTTGGGTTTCTTAACGAGTTTTACAGCAGCTTTCATAGAGCGTTTAATTTCGCTCTTGATTACTCATTCTCAACGATTCATTTGACCCCCTCCCCCCGCTTGAAAAGTTGGAGGGTATAATGTACTCGGTATTTCCGTCCGTACGTTCGTCTATCTGTACGTCCGTATGTCCGTCTGCTACGCTTTAGAGTACCCATCTCTTATTTGCAAGTCTTCTTATACCACTGGGTGTTATTAAAAAGAACTTTCACAGAATCTTTATCAAATATTGCCACTGTGCACCTCCATTTTTACCTTTTCATCCGCCACATTTTTTGGTTTCCCGGCTACGTAAATTAAGGACTTTGTCTTCAGTTATAACCATTTGGGAGGCGGAGGTATTATTTAGTGAGCACATTGGTCACAGTACCTCGAGTTAATGCAGTGTCTCGAATAGCCCTTGTTTTTCAGCTTCTCACAATTAAAATATGTGATGAAAAGTTGTCTCATGAACTGTAATCAATTCACTAAAGATTCATTCATGACAGAAAGTCAAGCTTCATGTCATATGATTTCTGTGTTGTATATCATAGAGCTCAGGTCACTATTCATTGAACAAACTTTGTATTACAATGCACTTTTAAAAGTTACACACTTTATAAAAATTGGGAAGAAGGATAAGGAAATAACGAACATTATTCAATCTCAACGTCCATTTAACAATATACAAAAAAAGAGCAGAGCAAACACGGACCTCCGAAACATCAGAGGTGGGACAAATGGTCAGACATTGAACAAAAAGTGCACGAATTGATCAATATTTTAGCAAATGCCTTTATTATGTTCATATTTGCAGACAAGTTTAGGGAGGTTACTAAACCCCTTTACCCCCTCCAATCCTTCCGCCTTTGTTCCGTAGCTATTGTAGGTATGATGATATAATATATAATGAGCATTTTGGATGAACTGAAATTCATTGCTATAAGGACTTCCTTACATTTTAGTGTAGAAGTTTTAAGAAGTTTTTTTTTTCAAAAAAAAACCGTTAGGACAACTTTAACTAAAAATGCCAGAAACTGGGGTCTGAGTAAAATAATTATTCTGCAGAATATCAACTATCATTTTCCTTACCTTAACTAAGACGATACTTTAAAGAAAATTAAATTTTGTAAAAAAAAAAAGGAAAAAATCCATCAGATTTATCAAAAGGAGAAAATTTTATAAAGGATATTATGTAATTTTGCTTTATTGAATATATACAAAGAATCGTTCAGGGAAATCAAAGACAAGCTATTCTACTAACATTAGATCGAAAACGAAAGAAACAGTATGGAAAAGTCTGAAGCCCTTAAATGAAGTGTCAACAAGAAATGTGTGTCTTGTAAAGTTTACAATGTACATCATGCATTTTTTATTAGAAATATAGTATATGAATACTTCGATACAAAATCTGATACTAGGTTCTTGTTTTTGCGGCACTACACAGAAAGAAGGTAGTCCCGTGTTTAGGTGCACAAGGTTACGACACAATCAATAGTGGCACCATCTTCGATGCCAATTTCTTTTAGAGAAGCGTTGGACTTTTCCTCAGCGTAATGATACCCGTAATCGTTGATCCTGAATTCCATATCATTGATCTCCCATTTCGACGCATCACTCCATTTCTCAAATACAGTTTTCAAAGTGTCAGTCTGTAATTAAGACAAATCACATTCAATATCATTCATCTAGACTTGTTATAAGAAATAAGTGAATCCGTGCAAAATGGTATCTGATTACCACTTACGTTAATATTTCAGCGAAAAACTTTCATAGCCGTCCTGTGGAAAGTTTGATATGTGTTTATATCACCATGAGTTTTGAATGTCTTTAAAAAATGTTTTTAATCTACACGTTACACGATCTTACATGATTGCTAATGTGAACGCACGATTCTTCACTCAAAATAGTAATATTAAGGAATCGATGTTTTCAAAACGAAATACGTATGGCTTCATACTGATTATAGATTTCAAAGAATTATCAATATTATTTCAAAGACTTTTGGGAAAAAAACGAAATTGCTATTTTTGTAACTGAATACATGTAAGACTTATTTATCATTTTGGATTAAAAATTATTATCATTTCAATAGGAAATTCTTCGACCTTAGAAACGGATTTTTTCTCTCTATCAGAAGATGTACCGTAAAATTTGATTGAATTGGATATCATAAGATGCAGAAAATGGAAACTATTTAAAAAGTATGGCAGCATGGCATGATTTGAATTATGTGTTACATTTGTATATCCCTATGCTTTCATTGATTCAATGTTTGTGATTCAAAATAAACTCGCCAATTATTCCAAATTGAAACAATTTTTTTTAATGAAAGCAACAGAAATGAACACTGATAAACAAAACCCTGAAAATCATATCGAGTGCAAGTATAATTAATCGCCGACTACATGTTCATGTAAGCATTGAGAATTTTTTTTTTGATTATTATTTTTGTAAAACAATTTATTTTTGATAAATTGATTTTTTTAATACCACTATAAGCCGTAATCAAGAATGACAATCAGAGAAAAAATCTGTTAAACATCTATATCCAGCTTATTACAATAGTATAGGTCGCATTATTTGACAGCAAGCGGTAAATCTAGTCTTCCCGACGCCCGACTCTCGATGGTTGCAGTTTTTTTTTATTTTAATCGATTTCTTTTTTACCGCAGCACAGAATTTATTCAAATTTTCACGATTAAAACTGCAAACGATTGAGTCTGATACACGCACGATCTCGCACGTTAAACGAACAATCACACACGATACACGAAAAATTCTACACGATTGGTTTGTCAACAATAACGGTGCAGCCACTGTATTTCATTTCATTATCTTCTATATATATTCAATTTATATTCCGTTGTTGTGAAGATCGTGGGAAATATATTATATAAAATATTTTCTATAATATGAATATTTACCAGAAATTGTGATATTTAAACATTATCAATCTATAGAACTAACATTTTTGAGCAAAGTACCCACCTCTGAAACAGCAATTGTATCTGTTCTTCTGTCGGTTGTAGAATGAATAGAGATCTTCATTATTGCAGACTTGACTTTTTCTGCCCTTTTGGTTCAAACACAATTGGATTCTTCGGAGCGGAATTATTTGCTATAAACAATTGTCGCAGTATATATAGGACAGATTTATTATGCAGTGACGTCAATATTTAGGACCCTAAAAACAGGTTATGTAAATTAAGATGATCATATTCAAACGCAGTTTGCGAATGGAATGCACATTATCAAGGGTATATCAGCATAATTTTCTTTATTCAAATATGATTGCAAAACGTGTTTTAACATTCTAAGCTCACCAGAGCAGGAAGCTCAAGTAAGCTTTTCTGATCAAAACCTGTCCGTTGTCTGTCATTGTTGTCGTCATCGTTGTCGTCGTTTGTAAACTTTTCACATTTTCATCTTATCTAGAACCACCTGGCTAATTTTAACAAATTTTACCACACATTCTCATTTGGTGAAATCTTGAAAAATCGCAGTAGATATAAGACAGATTTATTATGCAGTGACGTCATTTGAATATCAATATTTTAGGACTCTAAAAACAGGTTACTCAGTATGTCAATTAAGATTGTTTGCGAATGGAATGCGCATTATTAAAAGAAGGTTTATAAAAAATCCTAAGTTTTTATCCTCTCATTAGAAATATATTGAATTTAAATTGACATTTTCAGCTTCAGCAAGGTCTATCAATAAGATAAAGGAAAGTTACTGAAACTTTAAAAAATTATCTTGAAAACGATCCATTCAGTACGAGGGTTGTACCAAAATTTTGTAGTCAAGCGTTTTGTAGGAACCCAATGTCATGTATTTATGAAACACCACACATATATCAAATTATCATTAACTTATAAACTTATGGACAAATATGGAGTAATTATTTACATTAACCCAATCTTAATGACACATTTCATTGTTTAGGTTGGTAAGGCGGCGCAATACCCTATAGTTGCTATTTGAAATTAGTATTATATATTTAAAATCCGACGGAAAACTATTTACTACTCTGTATTTTTTCGAAGGAAAGAAAAATTCTTAATTCTGTTTCATGAACTTTATTTCCTCAAATTTTAGCCATTATGCTTTAACAAATATGAATTTTATAACGTTTAATAATATACACCAGGTTGAAATCTGACTTTTGAAAAATGGCGGCTGCATTCGCACAAGCGCACTGGACTATGATCAAGTGTTTTTATCCTTAAATCACTCCTTCAGAAATGTACCAGTTATTTGTTTCTTAGACAAGGAAATGCAATTTTGTTTTAGTATTTAAA